CCCCCCCCGAGAACACGTGGCCCTCAGTACCCTCCCCTCCTCCTCCTCAAGAGCTGCGCTCCAATTCGGCGTTACAGGGAGTGGTAAACGACTTTCACTTTTAGAGCGCAGCTCTTAGGGGCCCGTTTCCAGCCTGAGCGGCGTCGCCGTTGGCGTCGCCGTCGCCGTCGCCGTCGCCGTCGCCGTCGGCGTAACCGCGCCCCTCCCTCTCCTCCTCCTCCCTCTCCTTCTCCTCCTCCTCCTCCCCTCCTCCTCCTCCCCCTTCTCCCCTCCCCTCCTCCTCCGTCGCCGTGGGCGTCGGCGTAACCGCGCCCCTCCCTCTCCTCCTCCTCCCTCTCCTTCTCCCCCTCCTCCTCCAATCCTCCTCCTCCCCCTTCTCCCCTCCCCTCCTCCTCCTCCCCCTCTTCCTCCTCCCCCTCCTCCCCCTCCTTCTCCTCCTCCTCCCCTCATTGTCCGGCTTGAGCGGCAAGGAGGAAAGCAGTGCGAAGGTGGAGGAGGGGGGAGGAGAGACGAGGAGCCGGAGGCGAGGGGGGGGAGGAGCTTGAAGGACGAGGAGGTGGTAAAGGAGAGGGAGTGGGAGCGGGAGGCGAGGAGGACTAGCAGGCATGATCACGAGGGAGGAGGAGGAATATACCCTCCACTCCTCCTCCTCAAGAGCTGCGCTCCAATTCGGCGTTACAGGAAGTTGTAAACGGCTTTCACTTTTTTTTTGTGGCCGGTCAATTTGAGCAATGTAGACGTATATTGCTGCTGGATTCGACAGGGGTTATAAGTATTGGAGGCGCGATAGATCCTAATGACGTGACAGCTTCTATCTTTGCGAGACGCGTCCCCCACCTTTTGAAAGCAGATAATTTCCCTGATAGACCACATTGAAGGAGTTGGGCTAATTTCGCAATTACTTGATTCAGGAAACCTGCTCGCTGCATATGATTAATCAGGGAAATTATCTGCTTTCAAAAGGTGGGGGACGCGTCTCGCAAAGATAGAAGCTGTCGCCGAAAAAGACCACATTGAAGGAGTTGGGCTAATTTCGCAATTACTTGATTCAGGAAACCTGCTCGCTGCATATGATTATTTTCGGCGAAAAGCCGCCAAGATGAATAGCCAACACACCGGCCGGCGTTAGTGGCTCAAATTAACCTGAAGCTAATCGAGCACAACCAAACTCAAGGAAAGCAGCTATCGAACCTTCCCATTCACTTGACTGCAACATTGGTGTCCCCTCCAGTGAAACACTTCGTCTGTCGAGCTCAGTCTACTGTTCTACATCCTTATAAAGAAACTGCTTCTCAGTTACCAAGCAGTCGTCACTTTGATTGCGATTAGAGACAGACGACAAATCAAAACGTTTTTCCGTGATTCCTCCCCATCCAAAAAATTGAAAGCACGCGATCGTGTGTTGTGGAATAAACGGGCTTTCAAACACGTGATGGAAAGAAACAATCTACTGAGGCTTCACCACACTAATGAACACTCAGGCAAACTTAAGAAATTTTCGGACCTTCGTCAAACTACATTGCTCGCCGCCGCGCCGCCAGCACGCCTCCGCGAAAGCCATCAGAGACGCGGCGGGGCGCGGAGCGACCTGGACCGGCTGGTTCCCGGTTTTCCCGCTTGGCGGCGTCCGTTTTGCTGGAGTCGCGAATACAGAGACACGAATGCCTCCTTAGAAGAGTTTGACGGATTCACAGATACAACCGGAAAGCTGATAGAAGATTGCTGTGATGCCCTGGACCTAGTGTTAGTTAATGCGCAAGTAAAATGCGACAGAAAAATAACATGGAAACGAAACAAGTCACACTCAACAATAGACTACTGCCTCATGTCCCACAAACTGTATGACAGGTTAGGAAGTATGAAAATAGGTGAGGAAGGTACAAAAAAATGAAAGCCGTTTACAATTCCCTGTAATGCCGGTTAGAGCGCAGCTCTTGAGGAGGAAGATGGAAGCGTACTGAGGGATAGGTGACTCCTTGAGGTCACGTGACCTCAAGGGGGTCACGTGACTTCAGGGGGTCACGTGACCTTAGGGGGTCACGTGACCTCAAGGCGGTCACGTGACTTCTGGGGGTCACGTGACCTAAGGGGGTCACGTGACTTCTGGGGGTTACGTGACTTCTGGGGGTCACGTGACCTAAGGGGGCCACGTGACCTCGGTGGTCACGTGACCTAGGGGTGTCATGTGACCTGGGTGGGTCACGTGACCTCGGGGGGTCACGTGACTTTGGGGGGGTCACGTGACCTCGCGGTTACGCCGACGCCGCTCAAGCCGGAAACGGGCCCCTAAGAGCTGCGCTCTAAAAGCCAACGGAGTGACCACAAAAGAATTAAGATTAAATTTGGTGCATCTGAACCAGAACAGCAAGCTCAGGAACGAGCGGGTAAGCCAAAACTAAGTGAAGCTCAAACACAAAATGTATTGAAAAGCATAGAGAACATAGTCTCGGAACAACCAGAGAGTGGACGTCTGAGGATCTAATAGGAATCTTTAAACGAGAATTAAAGAAGCATCAAATTAAACAAAGATGAAAGCAAAAACAAACACCCTAACCAAAAAGCTGGTGGCATAAGCCAAAGCAGCCATGTTGTGGCACCAAGATGCATCTAAGGAGCACAGGTGGGCAAAGAAAAGGGGAGCCTTGCCAGCTGAAGTAGCATCAAAATGGGAGAACTTCGAGGATCGGAGAAGGGAAGCATCAGCTTTAATACAGGCCAACAATGAAAACACAATGAATAATGGAAAAAAAATTTAAATAGGACTGCGGCACAAAGGTTTTGGGAGCACATTAAAGTGCAGGGGAGAAAGACGGAGGGTTTTTTACACATACTGACCACACAGAAATGCACTACCGGAAGTAAATTTTTTAATGGTTGCCGTCTGCTTTAATTTGCTACAGCACACTAGCGCCGGTTAAACCTTTAGCGTACATTATAACAACTCTATGATCCGAGCTCGGCGTTCTGACGTCCCCACGCATTCTCGTTTCCTCCTTTCCCTCAGTTTCTCAGCACACAGGTTCAAGAATGCTTTAGAGTCTCGTGCTCCTTAAGCGCGCACACATTGCCAAATCGTGCCAGAAGACAAGAGCGCATACTGGAAGCTGGACGTTCAAAAGACACGTGCCAATGTTCTCATTTTGTCAGCGATCCTACACATCTTTCTCGCCTTCAGCAAATCCAGGGTGGGCCCAACACCTTTCAACTCGGTACAAGCGGCAAACGACAGAGACTGTGCCATCAGACTTTGTACATGCATATGCTGTCATTTTACACATGCTCTGTAACCGTATACTATCTGCAGTGTTCCTTAAGCTCAGAAAACAAACGAGAAACTGCAACTTCTATGACGATAGCCAATCTACAAATTCTGGTGAAGAGAGCCAGGAGCCACAACTACAGCCTTCCAGGAACAAGCGCCTAGTACAACAAAATATTCCGGTCACATAAGTGAAAGATAGTGATGGCTGAAATGAAGGAACTCTCATTTAACAATTTGGAATTACGAAGATGCCTGTGCTGGGGAGTGTCAGCCCAATGAAATCAGTTCAGAGTTCTCCTAGACTCCCAAGTCTCTTTTTCATACTATTTGAGACTGCAGCATGATGTCTTCAGATGCATTAAACAGCCGTACACAAAACATGTCACCTCCTGCATAAACCAGCTGGAGGGCAGGAATTGGGCTATAGTCAGAACTGACTCCCAAGGCCGCCACTCGCTTAACTGCTACAGCGAGATCCCAGCATCAAGCAGGATGGCAAAGTGGGAACATTCTAAAAAGCTACTCTGCCCGTGGCACATTTGCTTCAGGTAAGGTATGCAATCGCAGAGAAAAAAAATATAACAACACTGGAAACTTGACTTTAGACCTTTATTTCTGAGAAACGGTTAAACAAAACTCTGATTAGATATTTATTATCCACAGATTTTGTTCAAGTCAAACGACATAAAAGTAAAAAGACAAAAAAATCACCACAATAAGGTTAGCCTTTGAAATTAATTGCACAATGTAACAATAAACACATACTAAGCAACAATTCAAAGGACCTCATAACCAAAGCAAATTCATGGCTGAGTTGGTATTCATTAAGACTTGGCTTCACCACCCCCTCTCACTCTAGTAAAAATATAAGAATGTCATCAGAGAAACAAAGATACGAACTACTAACCTGTGTTACACAAAAACAAGCAAAATGAATTTTCCAGCATAGAAGGACCCCTAGGTACATCTCAAAGCAGGTGCCATATAAATACATAATTGCAAAGATGTGAATGTAAAGAAGGAAGGCATAAACACTTATAAGCATGCTATTTCCAAATTTCCCAAAACCTTTGTCAATACAGTCCAAAGGGGCATTACACTGCATTCAAAATAGGTACAGTGCCAATTTAAAGCAAGACCTGTTGGTCACTGCGAGGGATATGCAACTAGTGATGTCCCATGGTAGCAGGTAGTATTTTGGTGCACACACACACTCGGCGATCAGTCCCCCACTGAGGAAACCGCTAGAATGAGGTCTTAGCACGGTGCAGGATGTCAAAATAATAATCTTGGAAAAAATTACTTCAAACTACTTCATGCCCGCTCACACACTTGCGTTTCACTAAGACCAACTGAGGCCGGTTTTTAAGCCTCTTGTGACTGCCCATGACAGGCTGCATAGCAATGCAGTCATAAGCCTTCACTAGAAGTTTAAAAACCGGTTTTTAGCCTCTCTGGACATAAGCGGTCGCAAGGGCGTGAACGAGTCATTACCTCAGTACCGAAATCCGCCACAGCTGAAAGAAACAACAATGTAAAAGTTAAAACTGCCGTTTTTTGTTTTTTTTTTTAATGAGCAAGATTAAATTTTGCTCACACATTGACTATGGCAAGTTTGCATCTTCCTCATAGATAGTAGTAGCATCAAGAAAAAACGATAAAAACATTTTTACAAACATATTAGACCCTGCCTCGAAAAGCACACCTCGAGTGAGTTTAAGGGAGCTTGGAACCAAAGCTAGAGCATGACCCAATGTACATTCAGGTGCAGAACACAAAGCAGCTGCTCTGCAAAACATTAAACAATGTCTCTTAATTCATTGACCCAGCCTCTAAATCACAGCTGGAGAAGAATCATTTACTACTCCCCAATACATTAGTGTGATGACAAACGAGGGCGTTTCGACGAGAGGCTCCAAACCAGGGCCAAACAATTTGGCTCTGTGTTTACAGTCTAAGTGTCCAAGCAAGCTGGAATTCCGATTCAAGGTTCTCAGATATTGCTGGAATTCGAAAGGCCCACTTGCTTCAGGCTTTGCGCAAATGCCTTTAGGGTTTGCTTACCTCGTGTTAGCATGTGCCCAATGAGGCAAGATCGTTTAGCAAATGGCCTGGGACGCTGCTGGTATTTGTGAGGCTTATAGCGCATAAGCACTTCAGTGTGGCGAGCTTAACTATTTATCAAAGCAAAGCCTTCGGGACCTATGTTGCACTCAGGCATTTGTAGACTTTGATTCAAATCGCATAAAGTTCTGCGCATGCGTTAAATGATCACACACAAGGCAGGTTCAACTTACAAGTCAACCAGAAGGCATTCTACACATGTGCATCTGGTTTTGGTGGATAAACTCCTATTTTGAGCAAAGGTTTTGGGGCTTTGTTTGTACCTGTAAGGTTTTTAAACACTGCATTTCATAATGATGGATGAGACTCCTATTATGAGAAAAGGCTTTGGTGCACTGCTTGCACTTAAATGGCTTTTCACCTGTGTGTGTTCGATTATGCCTTTGTAGACTGAAACTTTGAGAAAAGGCTTTGGGGCACTGTTTGCACTTAAATGGCTTTTCACCAGAGTGCAAATGATTATGGCTTCGTAGATGGGAAGCTTGAACAAATGTTTTGGGGCACTGCTCGCACTTAAATGGCTTTTCATCAGTGTGCAATCGATTATGCATTTTCAGCTTGAAATTTTCGGCAAAAGCTTTAGGGCATTGCATGCACCTAAGTGGCTTTTCACCGGTGTGTGTTTGATTATGCCTGTGTAGAGAGGAATTCTGAGCAAAGGCTTGGGCACACTGCTTGCACTTAATTGGCTTTTCACCAGTGTGGATTCGATTATGAATTCTCAGATTGGAATTTCGAACAAAGGCTTGGAGGCACTTTTTGCACTTAAATGGCTTTTCATCAGTGTGTGATCGATTATGCAATTTCAGCTTGAAATTTTCAGCAAAAGCTTTGGGGCATTGCATGCACTTAAATGGCTTTTCACCAGTATGTGTTTGATTATGATTCTTCAGATACGAATTTCGAGCAAAGGCCCTGGGGCACAGATTGCACTTAAATGGCTTTTCACCTGTGTGTGTTTGATTATGGTTTTGGAGTTTGGAATCTTGAGCAAAGGCTTTGGGGCACTGCTTGCACTTAAATGGCTTTTCACCAGTGTGTGTCCGGTTATGATTTCTCAGATTGAAAATTCGAGCAAAGGCTTTGGGGCACTGACTGCATTTAAATGGCTTTTCACCACTGTGAGATTGAATATGATTTCTCAGATCACAATTTTGAGCAAAGGCTCGGGGGCACTGCTTGCACTTAAAAGGCTTATCGCCAGTGTGTGTTCGATTATGCCTTTGTAGAGAGGAATTCTGAGCAAAGGCTTGGGGGCACTGCTTGCACTTATATGGCTTTTCACCAGTGTGCATTCGATTATGAATTGTCAGATTGGAATTTCGAGCAAAGGCTTGGAGGCACTGCTTGCACTTAAATGGCTTTTCACTCTTGTGTTTCTGAATGTTGCCAAGAACTTGGGACTTACAGCCAGACATGCGAGGATGCTGGATCTCGGATTGTTCATCACCATGGGCAGCTAGGTGGCTCACAATTACATGCTGATCTGTGGTGACATAGGTGCAGGAACAGCATTCGATCCAGATGTCCTCCGTGACTTTTAGTGTGCAGCTGGTCTCCCCCAACAATGTGGCTCCATCACCTAGACGAAAATACCAGACTGATTTAAACACAAAGAAAGCACAACCAAGATAGCCATTTATTTTGGAAAAGAGTAGCACTGATGCCATTTTGCCACAACTGTACAGTTCAATATTTTGTTGCACTTAGAGATTCACTTCATGGAAGCACTCAAATGCAACTGGCATCACCAAGGGGTGTCTGTAAACTTGAAAAGCAAAAAAAATCATATTTTTATTATTTGGATTTTTAAATCATACTTTACATATATTCTCACTTTAGATATTTTGTGTTTTCTAAGTTCCTTTTTGTCAGAAGAAAATGTCTTCACCCAGTACCTTTTGAGTTAGAATCTGGATCTGAGTACTTTTTGGGGGTTGGCTACTTTATTCAGAAAGTGTAACAAAAACAATATTTTTGGAGATTGTTAGATATTGTTTTCTAATTGTGATTGACTGATTATGGCAGGTCATATCAAGACTTCCTTCAAGTTATCAGTAAGAGAATTTCAGCTTGTGGTGCAGTCATGTCCTGTTAATATGGGCACCCTGCTATATAAAAACAATATTGGGGGGTAATTCCTCCCCATGCAGCTCTGCCTCCTGAATATTAAGAGGGCGTGGTACCTCTATTTATTCGTCCGTTTCAGACACCAGATGGCGTGCGGGTCGTCACGTGGTTTATTGCGGGACTTCTATATGGCGCCAGTATCGAAGTGTGAAAAGGCCTGCGTTATCCGCTGCGTGAAATAGATCCCTGAAACGCGTCGTGTGATGACGCTCTTCTCCGGCGGAAGAAGTTTCTCCCTCCCTCGTGCGCGCTTCATATGTCTCTGGTCAGTCAGCTCAGTGTGCATTGCATCGGATACAGTGATAAAACGCACGGTGGCCGAGTCGGGCCTCTGCGCTGTGTGATGAAGTGGGTGGCGCTCGTTTCTGTTCAGAGGTAGGTATAAACATGTCGGTCCCCTTTTTAAGATGGTCGTTTCTATAGGTTGAGTTTTTATCTCAAGTCAGGTAGAGTACCGCCTTTTAGAAATCATACTTTGCGGCGAGCGATTGAGAGTCAGATTAGCATTTTATTTTGGTCAGCACTACACGCTCAATGAAGACCTCAGGCGTCGATAAAAAAATGTGTTGCTCCTCAAAGTGTGTCCAAGGTGCACAGTGGCAATTAAAAATGGCATTGAAGGTGCGCGACCGTCGGTTGGTAAAATGCGAGCGTTAGATTACTAACTCAGTCTAATCATTTTTGCCGTCTTTTATCTGTTTCAAGAAATGACATGGTCGAGTCTATTGATAACCTTAGGTAGACTGAACCTATGGAGTGTCCAGGCTTTAAATAAATTTGCTTCGTTTATGTGAATTAATAGCTGTTTTCTCTTTTCCGTACTCGGTGTTATGCAAAAATCGCTTAGATATTATGGTAGCATTGTGTGGCGACGTTTTGCATGCTGACTCGCTCGCCGTGCACAGTATGTGTTTAGATGGAATGTGTCAAATTGTATTTCCGATCGATTTGACAGATTCCGATCGATTTGACACAGAAAATTTGAAATTATTTGTGGGTTCTAATTTTCGTGAATCGAGTGTAGCTTCCGCCGCGTTCACATATTGCCTGAATTGTTTGCGAGATATTTCTCGCGAATTGTAAGCGATTCGCAAAAATTAGGTCCTCGCGAAAATTTAGTCGTTTACAGTATACTGTTTTTATTTGTAAATACTGTTGTAGCACATCAATGACAGCAAAATAAAAGAACTGCAACCACACCAATCTTTCCACGCGTTTTTTGCGATTCGTTGTAACCGTTGTAACATAGCCAGAAAATGAAAAAAATCAGTAATAATAATAATAATAATGTATTTTATTTCCCATTCTGACTGGTACAAAAAGGGAGGACGTCAGGACAAAAAGCTGCGGTTGCAGCTTGACGAGGTCCTGGCGACCTAACACATTTCGGCGGGAAAGCAGCATTGTAAACACAACGAAAACAAACACAAAAATGGGCACTAAAACACAATCACGAGAATTCACATTGTTGTACTCAGTTGAAATAGCAGTCAGTATCCTGCATTGGCGACACTGGCAAGCTATGTATTTTACTTATACTTCGTTTCATCTTATGTTGAACCACAGTGGAAGGTTCAGAAGCCTCTACAGCCAATCAAGCGCAAGTCACAAGTAACGTCACCAGGCTCTTTTTGGGCGTGTATCAGTGCGTGACATCACCTCTGAACTGGCGCTTGATTGGCTGAGGGGGCCCCCAGCCTTCCGATGCGAAAGGCTAAACGTCATCCCCCCTCGAGGTCACGTGAGCTGCGTCGCAAGTGCCTGTTCTTCCTTTGATTCCACGGGGCTTTCAGATTCTCTGAGACGAAGAGGGGCCCGCAGACTGGACAATGCCCCGAACAAAGGCACACTACTGGGGCTTGGGGTACTGTTCTTTCCCGTGGAGCATTCCGTTGAGCAGAACTGGAATATGTTTAAGGGTCAAGTCGCCATCCTCACCGACAAGTGCATTCCACTGCGATCTATAACGTCTCACCCTCAATCACCTAGGTATAACCCATTACTGAGAAGGCTATCAAGCAAGAAAATGAAATTGTTTCGTGCCGCTAAATCTTCCATTACATGTAACCGGTGGCAATCTTATCACAACGCCAATGCAGTTTACAAAAATGCTATTCAAGATGCGAAATAAGAGTATATTAATGTAAAGCTACTGTCTATGTTAGCCTCTAACCCAAAGCAGTTTTGGAATGTTGTTAGTAAAAAAGAAAAAGTCGTGATTTCACTCAAGGCTGCGAACGGAGATGTAATTTCTAGCAATGAATAGGCTTCCATTTTGAATGATGTTTTTATTGAGTCCTTTCAAACTGTTATTAACATGCCTACTTGTAGATTTGACGCAAGTGATTTTTCGCCTATGGGACCCGTTCTAGTCGATCCTATTGTATTATTAAAATAAGCGATAAATTAAAACTTCTTCCTCTGCTGGCACCGGCAGCATTAACTCAGTTTCTCAAAAACACAAAAATGTATTGGTCTTTGATATTATCTCAATTTTTTTCCCAGTCGCTTTCACTTGGAGAGTTGCCTGCTGATTGGAAGATAGGGAAGGTGGTGCCACTCCACAAAGGAGGTGATAAATATTGCCCGGATAACTATCAAACAATTCACTTACTAGCATTCCATGCAAGATACTAGAACATATCATCTACTCACAACTAGTTCAATTTTTAGAATCTAACCTTTTCTTAAGCACCGCTGAGCATGACTTTCGTAAATCCTTCTCTCGCGAAACGCAACTTTTGTCATTCACCCATGATTTGCAACTAGCACTTGACCGAGGGTCCCAGGTAGACTGCATTTTTTTGGACTTTTCCAAAGCATTCGATAACGTTTCACACAAGCAGCTGCTATTAAAACTTAACAGTCTTAACACTGACGCAAATGTTCTGCCTGGATAACTTGTTTTTTCACTAATCGTTCCCAGTTTGTAACCGCTGACGATGAAACACTACCCCTCGCCTCCGTCAATTCTGGAGTACCACAAGGTTCTGTATTAGGACCGCTATTGTTCCTTATCTATATTAACAATTTGCCGAATTCAATCTCTTCTGCAATTGGTTTATTCGCTGGTGACTGTGTCATTTACAGAGAAGTTACTAATGCCTCGGATGTTCTGAATTTACAAGCTGACATTAACCATGTTTCAAAATGTGAAATATGGGGGATGGAACTTAACACGACTAAATGCAAAACCATGAGAGTATCGCGTAAATGTAATGTTCTTTCTTATTTTCTCAAAAATGTCCTCTTACTTTTTGTCTCTTATAAATACTTAGATGTGTATATAACCTCAGATAATTCCCGGCAAATGCATGTTGAGTATGTTATTAATAACACTAATCGACTGCTGGGTTATCTAAAACAAAACTTTTCCGTTGCCCCTTCATCTTTGAAACTCACACTACAAAATGCTTGTAAGCTCTAAATTACAATATGCTTCTTCTATCTGGGACCCCGTCATTCCAAACTAACGCCGTGGTATCAGTTCGGAATCGCTCTGCTCGTTTTATTAATAACTTTCATCGCACCGTAAAAGTGACCTCCATAAAAACTAGCCTATCGTTGCCTAACCTCATTTTGCGTCGTAAAATAGCTCACATATGCCTCTTTCATATGATATACCATACTAACTCATTATTTCATAGCCGACTGCTGAATCATCCGTCTTATATTTCGCCATGCATTGATCTTATGTATAAAGTATACATTCTAAAATTTAACACTAATGCACTCCGAGATTCATTCATTCCGAAAACTTCAGTGGATTGGAACCACCTTCCCGCATCTATCGCAACAATTGTTCCTGACCATAAATAATCTACACTGCTCAGATTGAGCTGCAAAGTGTTCTACTGCCACTAACCACCCCTCCCCTCTGTAATGCCGATGGCCTTGAGGGTATTTTAAATAAATAAATAAATAAATACAGTACTGGGATTCGAGGGAAGACACATGATTTATTCCGAAATTAACTTACTGAATGGTTTCAGGTAGTATGTTTAGGCTCAAAATATAGCAAGGAAATTAAGGTCAAACAAGGAGTACCACAAGGTACAGTCTTGGTCCACTACTTTTTAATTTATATGTTACCGAGATAGCACAGGCTAGGTTAATAAGTAAGGTCTCTCAATTTGCAGATGTAATTACACTGTAATTGCATATGCCCATAGAAATTATGAAGTAGTGGCAATAACGATACAAGGTGATATCCGTAACATCATAAAATGGTACCGTAGAAACCAAATAAAATCGTAAATGTTTCTAAAACGCAGGTAATATGCTTTAAAGATTTTAAGAAAACATATTATAAATGAAATTTCGATAAAAATGCATGATCAGAACTGCAACAACAGCTTGTGTGTCTCGTTAAAATACACTGACAATGTTAAATATCTGGGTGATGATGGTGATGATTGGGGTTTTATGGCGCAAGAGCAACTAAGGCCATAT